TTTTGCTTGCTTTTGCCTTTGCTTTTTCGTTGGGTTTTGCCAAAGTAGAGTCATTAGAATATTCATACGGGAGAGGAGGCAGGGAGGGGTTTTGTGCCTGGCATGTTGCGCTCAGTTTCACGTTCATTCGGATGTACAAAAGAATATGCGTGAGATTCGGCAGTGTTTCATACATCTGATTTTTTTTCTGCGTACGCACATTTACAGCTTTGTGCGTACGCAATGTTTTAGTAAGATTTCCACTCAAGTCTTCGTACATGAGGCCCCAGGTCTGCAGCATTCACATGCGTATGAATGGAAGTCTGTAGGGAGAAAAGTGCAGTGTGACCGGGACTTTAAGCTTTAACTCTAATTAAACACACCTGATCAAACTAATTAAGGCTTATTAGAAATTTACTGGTAATGTTGAAGCAGGATGGTTAATAAACTCTGCTGTGCTACAGTCCTCCAGGAACTTGGAGTTTGACCCCCATAGTACATAGCATACTTTTATCACAATCACATATCCAAAAATAAATAAATAAATAAATAAATAATTAAATAAATAAATAAATTAATTAATTAATTAATTAACAAACTCAATCTAAAACAATATATATTGTATTTTTAAACACAATATATATTTGTGTTTAAAAGAGTTTTTAAACACATTCTTATTTAACAAGACACTATTATTCATATTCCATTGCAATTTAAAGGCTTAACTAGGTTCATTAGGAAAAGTAAACAAAGTTGTTAGAAACACTGTGACATTTTTTATTGCTCTGTTAAACATCACTTGGGATATATTTGAAAAAGAATTAAAATTTCAAAGAAGACTGAATAATTTTGCCTCTAAATGTATATATATATATATATATATATATATATATATATATATATATATATATATATATATATATATATATATATATATATATATGTATATATATATTACTTGCCTTTGAATAAGCTCTACTGTGGCAATACTTGACTCCTGATATAAAAAGGTTAAAACATAAAAGAAACAAAACATACGCACAAGCACGCACACACACACGCAACACACAGAAAGTGCTGCAGTTAAATGTGTTACTCTCTCCTCAATACTGACCATGCATTAAAAAAATACTGAACAGCAAAAAACACAAAATAATTAATTTAAAAAAATAATTATAAAAAAGCATATCAAAAGATCACACACATACTCTAGATATGGATAGAAACATGTTTGTCAAACACAGGCACATACTGTGTCAATTCTCAATAAAAAGTTTAAAATAATTATAAAAAAACAAAAATAAAGTCGGTAACGGATCCAATCTTTTATTACTATAATTAATATTTACTTTAAAAATCTCATGAAAACAAACTTATCTATTGTCTGTAATATAAAGTCATAGGTGGAAACACAGCTCTGAAAAATACTTAGCAACAAACTAACAACCTGGGAGCTGACAGTGGAGCTTTTGTGTGTGGATGGCTATGTGTATCATATTTTTTGTGATTCCCTGTAATGATTTCTGTGCACATGTTACCTTACTGAGGTGATGGAATGTAATGGTTTTTATGTGCAAAGAAACTGTACATTATGGCAATATGCTATATCCAATAAATAAATATACTTAAAAAGTAATGTAAGAAGTTATATGAAGAGAGGCTAACTGTAGCTTTTAAGAACACAATTAAAGATAATTCAAGATTTTAGAAACCCTCAAAAACATTTGAATACATTTACTTACTCATTGTAGATTCTTATTTAAAGCCTAAAACATATTAGACTCAACATCTGAATTGATAGACAGAGAATAGAGCACACTCAGCAGTAAACAAATCAAACACCTGGCTCCCTTAAAGGGCCAGCATTTTCTTGAAACTTTTTCCAACACCTTTGTTTTTAGAATAATACAGACAGCCTGTTGGAATGTGTGTGGTGATGCCTAAATCATTGTTTTCTACCTTTAAAATGCAAGTCTCTTTAAATAGCAACATAAAGTAACAGAGTAGATGGGACAGTAATGGTTGAACAGTAATTTGCCATTTATTGTCACAGTTACTACCTGTAATGTGTACATAAAGTAAATTAATGTAATTCATTATTTGCACTACACAATTTCATACAAATCCTACTCTTTTTACAGTAAAATACTGTTTCCTTTCATTACAGCAAAACACTAGCTATTTTACAGTTATTTACTGTATAATCTACAGGGTAACAGTGCAGTTAAGCTTTAACCCTAATTAAACACACTTGATCAAACTAAATCTAAAGGTAGTGTGTTGAAGCAGGGCTGGAACTAAATTCTGCTGGGCTGCGGCCCTTCAGGAATTTGACACCCCTGGTGCATAGCATATTTTCGAAGCAACTGCCTAAATTTATCACGATCATGCACCACATATCGTTAAATAAAAACATAAAAAATATACAAACTTCATCCAAAGCAAAAAAATAATGATAAATAATCTGATCCTCATGTCGTTCCAAATCTGTAACAATAATAAAAAAAAACTCAACAAATAACCTGATTTATACATTTACCTACATCATTTAAAGTTTTCCAGACAAATTCATTGAGTCTCTGCAAAAATGTATGTACGTGCTGTTTAAGATATTTTTTAAATAACACATTTTTACTAGTTATTTAGCAAAATACTAATATTTAGCTTAAAGTCCAATTTAAAAGCTTAATTATAGGTTAAACTAGGCAAATTAGATTAGTTATAGGAAAAATAAACAAAGCTAGACAATTTCTTAGCTCTGTGTAAAATTTTTTTGCCTTTAAATGCATCTCGTCCATATCTTATACTTACCTTTTAATAAGCTCTGTGACATTGGTGGACTCTTGATACTCAATGTTAAAAACATAAAAGGAACCCAAGAAAACACAGAGATGGCTGCTGTGAAATTTAGCTTATCATCATTACAATGTCTCACTCTCCCCTCAAAATATATATATAGTTGA